AGCTGCCACCTAAAAAAAGGGGTGGGGAGTGAGCACAATTTTGTTAGATACAGAGACATAGGCAGCAGGAGAAGGAGAGAGCTGGCACGGTGTGTGTGTGTGGGGGGGGGGGGGGGGGACAGAAAAGCCATAAACACAAGATACACATTCTCAAAAAGGCATTAGGATGCATTACTAGGGAAACATTTGTCATTTAAAGTAAATGGCCTATAAGCAGGCCACAAAGGCCTTAAGGAAAAGAGCACACACCATAAGTCAGGCGGATAAGGACAACCTTAACTAGCACAGGGATATGCCAAATCTTCACTCAAAATGGTTATAGAAAATGAGAGCACTAATTAGCATGTTTCGGGTCAATGGAATTAAAATCACTCACCAATAGTGCACAGTAGATGAGGCCTTACTCCATCAAGAACTTTGTGATAGAGTCTATTTGGACTACACGCAATGGATAAAGTGAGCCTTGTTTCATTTGGGTTTTTGATGTATGTGATTCTTTCTGCTACAACTCAGAATGCCACCCCAGAACTTACTCATTTCATGGCAGGCATCCTCCTCTAAAATGAGTGCACACATTTAATAGTAATTTTTCCCATGGTCATACAGAACGTATAGACCAGAAACCCTATGTAAGTCAGTATTTTTATCTTTTTTCTCCTTCTTTAAGCTAAATCTGGAGACCATTGGTTTATATGTGAGACTTTGGGATTGGAAGTAAAGTTAAGCATGAATGACACAAAGACAACTTACGATATCAGAGGATAAAGTGGCAGGAATTGCAATACAGTATTACATTAAAACCCAGGAAAGTAATAACAGTAAACAACACTGATCCCTCAAAACTAATTTGGAAACCCCTCCACACATTCCAGTCTAATTCCAAATATCTAATATTGGCTATAGAAATCAATTTACATTTATAACACATCTTTTGTTCTCCTTTTTTTATTATTAGTTTCAGGTGTACAGTGCAGTGGTTAGACAATCTCAAACTTTACACAGTGTTCCCCCTGATATTTCCAGTACCCACCTGGCACCATACATAGTTATTACAATATTACTGATTACATTTCCTATGTCATACTTTACATTCCCATGACTATTTGGTAACTACCAACCTATACTTTTCAATCTCTTCATCTTTGTAACCCCAACTCTTCCTCCCTTCTGACAACCATCAGTCTGTTCTCTGTATCTACGAGTCTCTTTCTGTTCTCTGTGTTCGTTTATATTGTATAACACCTCTTGAGATACCAAGTTAATATTGAAACTGAGCAGGCCTGGGGATTTGATTGAGTCAACATCATTTAAGACTTTGGAATGCTCCAGAGAAGAGAATATCATTGGGGCGGAGTCGTTGAAAGCAGGAATAAACTACAATCACAACAGGTCAATATGGACATCTCATAGTTAGCATTAGGAGACCTTTCATGAAATGGTCCCATGCACCATTAGGGCTAATATCATTTTTCTATGTGACACCCTCAGGTGGATGTATATTTACAGATTTAGACAATCTAAATTGAGAAGAGCAATAATACTTCAATAAAAAATCAATCATAATGCAATCTGAGGGGAAAAAAAAAATACACACATGAGGAAATGAAAAATTTGAAAGCCACACACACACACCAAAAAAGAGGTTCTAGCAAATTTGTTCTCTTTCCAGGGGGGATCTTCTTTAGCACCAACCTGTTATCTTCAAATCTTGGAACCTTGAGGGATAAAAAATCAACCTGAGCATGTGCAGGAAAATAGCTCTATATTGCCCCCTAGTGTTTGGCTGTCCCACTTCTCTTTAGGCTAAAAACTACAAGGTGAGTAGTTCCTCTACTTCTAGTTACTTCCTGCTGCCAGCCTCCTAAGAGCTAAACATAGCCCAATCCTGTGCCCACAGATTAGGAAACAACCAGGCTATTTTTAGCACCATGCATCTTAGGAATGGCAATGGCCCAGCCTCTGATGGCAACAGAATGTGTGTGGCCTGGCTTAATGAACTCACCTCTCCCAAGGGTGTGAAGCTACTCCATAAAGTGGCCAATGACCCCTCGAGAACTCTGGGGCCTGTTACAAAGTGATCGCGGAATGCGGGTCACAAGAAATGATGGCATGGAAAGGACAATGAGAGGCACAAGTCACAAAGGGAATCCGGAAGATGACAGAGGCCAGACAGGCTTGATAAGGCAGAGCAGCAGGAGAAATGATATGGGAAAGGAACAATAAAAAAGAGAAGTCAGAAGACAGGAATGTTGGGCATTGTCATTCTGGAGACGCTTGTCTAGTAAGAAGCAGCATGTTGACCTGGACATTTACTTTACATGAGAAAGAACAAAGGTTGGTCTGATCTGTTTCCTGCCAGGGTACAGCTGGTGCTGGGGCTCCTTTGATCACTTTCTCCCAGTCCTCTGCAGCTCCTGTGATTAGAGATAGATGCCTTGGCCGCCCTTTGATCAGCAGCTCAAGCAGCCTGCAGGTGCCATGTGCCATCACATGAGCAAGTTGTAAGAAGCAACCACATGAACAACGGCTGATAAATGTGATCCCACAGAGTGCCGCACATACAACCAACACAAACAACGTGTACACAGGTCCCGGGAATCCTTATTGAATGGACCTGTGTACCCTAGGACTTCCTGGGGCTTCTTAAAGATGAACACTTTAGAGAGTTTAAATGCAGACTTGAAACTTGGAAACACCCCACCACATAGAGAAAAAGTTGCTGTGACTTAAACATACAGTGCACACCGTTCTGATTCCCCAGGTAGGTTGTCTGTGTTCCTTTCGCCTGGTTAATGAAGTGACAGCCTTCCTGCATTCGGGATGAATGACATACAAAGCATTCAACACATGCACATTTCTTTTCAAATAGCATCAAGAGCCACCACTTGTAAACAGGGTGTTTAATACTCTAATTTTAGACAGCCTACATTAACATTGCGGTTTCATGTGTAGTATAAGATTTCTATTTACAAAGCCTTCTCAAAAATGACTTCATAATGGTAGATCAAGAGAAAAAGAGTTTAGAAATTGAATGATGTAAATCGTATGGGGTTCAGAGGCTAAGCAAATTACACACCCCGACACTGCCCTTGGCCTTATGAAAGGAGCCTTTCTCCGGCTCTGTGCAATCCCAGCCCAAGGGAACTTGCATCTGAGAGTTTTCTAAACATTTCAGGTACACTTGAAAGCTGAAAGTAATTCTCATTTCCTATGCAGGATTAGGTAGTTTCCCGCACACACAAAATAGCAGCCATTCACCAGCACGTATAAATACACACCGCTAGAAAGGTATACACAAAGGCACATTTTTAAAAATAGAGCACAAGAGAAATGCACTTTTTTTTTAATTCGCCCTAAAAGTGTCCACTCGGCCTCTTGACCTCTGTGTTTCCTGTCTACTTACTGATTAATTGATGCCTTTCCCACTTAAAGGTGCTTCCATTAATGCAGCGGATACGTTTCCTGAAACAGCCCCTCCCGAATAAAATTTTAAAAAATCTGAATAAAGTCAAACATGCCAAGACTCATTCATTGTACGTTCGTGTTTAGAGGCACTTCTTGAGCTTCTCACTGGCAACCAGAGGTCCTGCAATGTGCGTTTAAACTGACGTTCAAGTTCGCTCGCAGAAGGTCCTCTCTCGCTGGGGCGACCGTGGCACTGCGGTCGCCCTAGGAGAGCCTGGCGGCAGCTCCCGAAGTTGCAAACTTGCACGTCCCCTCCCAAAGCCCAGGGCCCGGGACGCGGCGCGCATCTGCCCGGGGACACAGCCCGCAGACACCCTCGGAGCCCGGGGCACATCACCCGGCGACGCGCCACGGCCAACGTAACGCACACACAGCGAGAGGCGAGGAGGGGGCGCGCGGGGGGCGAGACTCACCGTTCTGCTCCTTGGTGCTGGACAACTGGAATTTACTACTCGGGTTGGACTCAGCCTGCGTCCCGGGCTGGCCGGCCAGGGCGGATGTCAGCAGGAGAAGCCTGAAGAGGAGCATTTGGCTGACTGGGGCGAGAGCTCACTCCCGGCGGGCACTTGGGAAGCAGCGACTCCAGAGCCTCTCTCACCGCCGCCAGGGGAAGGCTGCGCTGGGGTGGACGCTCCGAGCCTGCTCTGGCAGCAGAGAATCGCAGGGTAGTTTCCACATAATCCCATCCAAAACTTTTTCCTAGAGCCCTCTTCTGTGTCTCCAGTTTTTTTGTGTGTTTTTTTTTTTTTTGAAAAGGATCAAAGCAAAACCTGGACCTGAACCAGTTTCCCAAGGTTTAAACAAATCCTGAGCTGTGCCGAAGTGGTGGGGGTGGGGGTGA